TTATAAAGTGAAGGACGATCCAACTTTTTGGGCAGGACCGAGAAAAAAAAAAAAACACGAGGATATTACCGTGATGGAAGCTTGCAGAGAATGTATGCGTGTGTGCATGTGTGTGTATGTGTGTGTGAGGGGTGGGGTGGGTGGTTTTAGGGGGGCTCTACAAGAGGCTGGGTGGATGCTCTCATCAGCTCCATCTCTCTCCAATCAGAGTAATTACCCAAGAGAGGAGAGCGCGGCGGACAGAACAACAGCTGTGTTATGTGTGCACAATCACACATACACACACACATTCTTCACATCTCTATCCTAAAATATGATAGGGCAGCCCTATTTCACGCTTCGCAGTGTGTGTGTACGCAGGGTGTGATTTTTTATTAAGATTAGAGAAATCACACAATACCCATGAGTCGTCCTTTTGTTCAACGGTTCTATTATGTTCATATTCTCGTGTGTATGCATAGGAGAGTAAGCTGTCATGGCCCCAGGCGTCCTGTTTTTTTGTATTAGGTGCACACCTGTGTGTGGGATTATATGATGAACCTGTGTGTATTCGTGCCCTCATGTGTCCAGAGGGTGTAGCTCATCATCAGGACTGAGCTTTGATGCTGTGCCAGTGCATGAGGCCACCCACTGATGGAGCTCGATAGCTGATCTGGGATCAGATGATACCTCATTGTGCTAATGTTCACGACCAGAGCAGCTGGTTGCAGCAGTAAAACGTAAGCTCTATCGTAAGTTGCAACAAGTAGCATAGTTTTACCATAGCCTTAGGTGAGTAGGTGCAACATCTGCCGTAAACAAACTACTCGCTAATTTGGTTTAAAAAAAATGTGTTTTTACCACCTGTTTTGTATTTGTTTTGTGAGAAGTATAATTTTTTCTTTCTGTGGAAACTATTTGTGTGGTCTTTAATCACCAGACCTGCCCGCCTTACTGAAATGTATCGTTTATAACAGCTCCTATAAACCTAAGTGATTATTGGATAAACTACAAATATTGATAACAGGCAGCGTAGCGAGCACTTAAGTGATAGTGCAAAGGGTCATAAAATGTTTTACCTTCATGTAATGCTATTTTTATTTTGTCGTTATTCAAATGCAGATTGACTTCGCAGCCGCTTCGTTATCTTTCATTGCCGTGGTTGTTGCAGAACAAGCTCATAAAGTACAAACACATCATTTGATTCACCACTTTTCTGTGAAGGAAGCAATTTGGATTTTATTTATTAAAATCCAAATTGCTTCCTTGACAGAAATTTGGATTTTATTAAAATGACTAACTTGAGAGACAGATCTCGCTTGAAGTAAATGTTACGCTAGCCCTCCGTTCACACTAGCGAGCGCCAGACGGACGTTCATTTTCTACGCACATTTCAGCGACAATCAACAATTGTGATTTTACCCAATTCTACCCAAATGAGTTTTATGCTCTAAAGCAACAAAATCCAAACGATTGGCTCGAATGAATCCTCAGACCAATCCCATGGTGTGTTTCCCATTTTCTGTTTGACAAGCAAGAATGGAAGAAAAATTTATAACCTGTCATATCTCTCATTAAATGAGTATAGAGACTTTAGGAAGAAAAACAGAGCTTGGAAGGAAGTAGCAGAGATCGTTGGTACCTCTGGTGAGTGTATGTAGCTAGTAGTAGTTAGCTTGTTTGGCTAATCAGAGAACGAATCTAGTGTGAGGCAGAACACGTAACACAAATCAAACAACCAATTTCAATACTGATTAGTGCGTTATTTAAGTTGTGTTTAACTAGTTATTGTTAGAAACTATATATATTTACTACTATGTCACATTGTGGTACAGCGCAGACCCACAAGTGACAAAGTGTGAAGAGTGACACAAGAGTGACTTGTCACGTTCTAGTGTGAACGCAGGGTGAGAAAGGCAGACATTAACACTTCTCTGAGTCGACATTTGTTTGTTTGTCGGATCATGTTTTTATCCGGCTGGTGATGGTCAAATACGTTACTTTGCGCAAAAGTTTTAAAGTGCGATCTAGTAAACTAATAACTTAAGTTATTATTACTTAATTTTACATATTAGACTTGTGTACACATATATATCTAAGAGCGAGGGTGAACAGTACGACACTGTGTTTCGCAGAGGGTTCGTTATTGCTTCAATAATGATTTTGTATACCAAATGTATTCTAGAGAGTTTTATTAATCAGCCATATGACATTTGTATAATATTGTAATGTAAAACTGTGGAGTATGTGCTATACCCATTTTAAGTACTGACCTGATACAGGCTTTCATTATTAAAGGAACGCTTTGGCAAAAAAAAAAAAAAAACAAACAAAAGTGCACAATTTTCCATTGATTTTTTTTTTTTTTTTGCTTCTTTACTTTTGCACTGAAGGTACAAAGCTAATCTAGATCGCAAGTAATGGAAGTAATGGCTTCACCCAAAATCATCAAAATTTTCAAATAAGTCATTCGAGGGAGAGACTATATTAGGAAATTTCAATGTATAGCTATCCCATACAATTTTGCCATCAGAATATTGGGAGGCGGGGCTTAAGGGCAGACTGACACCAAATCACAACCGGAAAAAATTATTCTGGTTGTCCAAGATGGCTGCCCTAATTATGCCAAAACTGGTTCATTTTTATAGATAACAGATAGAGGTAATATCATTTAAGAACTGGAAGTTAGAGTATGTTCTATATTTTCAGCATTGTGAGATTGTATTTTTGGAAAATTGCTCATTAAATACATTAGCCCCATAACCTCCAGGGCTTTAATTGTGGAAATTAGTTTTTACACCAAATCGTTCTTTTAAAAACTGACTCGAGTACATTCTTTAAGTGTGTATTTGTTTGTATGATCATTCATCTGTACTCCATATCTGCAAGGTTAAATTTGTAAAAGCTTGGTTAATTATTGGTGCAATTATAACTGCCTATTTTCCTGGTTTTCTTTCTTTAGTCTTGTAGAAAACTGTGCAATGTGATGTGCTGCATTAATTATGCATTGCTCTGAAAGTGACTCATTGATGACATTGAGTTTAAGAGAAGCTGTTCTCCAAAAAGTAACTTTAAAAAAACAGGCTTAACTCTTGGGTTGATTAGGCGCACTAAAACAAAAACACAGTGCCTTGAAAATTAAGAAGAAAAAAGAGGAGCTGTCTTATTTTCTGCCGTGAAACTTGGGATCTAATTAGTGGCTGATTAAAATTCCTCTGCTCAGACGGAGATGTCCCTGCATCTGATCTTGATCATCTGCTGCTTTTCTACGTGGGTTCAGATCTGCCAGCCTTCAACTTTTCGTCACACAATATCAGCGTCCATCATCTATTCCCCCTAGTGCCCCACTGCAGGAGTTCCCGCTTTGTCAGCTAAAGCTTTTAAACCTGAATTATTTGCCTCAAGTGCACCCTTGAGGTTTTATCTAAATCAATAAATGTTGATAAACGCCACAAAAATCCTCTTAACCTGCTGCACCCGGAGCTTTGGTGATAAGTGGCTTGGGCCTACTTTCACTTATTTTCAATTCAGTTTCTTTAATTTATACTGAATCTGTCTATTTACGAAGATTTTACACGGATTTACAAATGACGTGGGAGGCACAAAGCAAACAAATTATTCAATGCTAACCCAGCATGCCATGCTTATCAGGGGACATCCTAGAATTAATCAAACAATTCAATCATCTTCAGTAACCACGTTAACCTGGTCAGGGTCTCAGTGGATCTGGAGCCTACCAGGAACACTGGACGTGAGGCGGGAATACGTCCTGGATGAGATGCCAGTCCATGGGGGGCCATGCACATGACACATTCACACCTAGGGGCAATTTAGAGTCATCGTCCACCTAGTGGCATGTTTTTTGGTAAACTGGAGAAAACCCCTATGGACACAGAAAGAAATGGCAAAACTCTGAACAGGCACTAAACCGAGCTTAGGATCAAAATCGATTGACTCTGGTGGCAATGCTATCTACTGCACCACCTTGATCCCTCTTAATGAAATTGACACTGATGTTGGAATCATACTGTCACAAACCTTCTCAGAATCCTAGCTCTAATCAAACCATATAAAGATAGACTTACCTTGGAGATACAGATATTGGCCATTTTGTCAAGTTATCAGAACTCTACCAGATGTATCATGCTGACTGTAGCCCATTCCTCAGCACCCATCTACCCAGTTTATCAAAAAATTGCCCCCGGACCATGTTGAGTGGGCATTGCCATAGTACGAGTGTGAGGTAAATCAGGAAATCAGTGTATACCTACTGACAGCAACTAGTGCCTGTGTTGGTCCTAGAGATTGTGCCTCTGACATCATGCCAATGTGAGCTTTAACTCACATGTCAAGGTCTGGGTGAGAAGAAAAAGCTAAAAATATCTTGACTGGGCCAGTTCCATGCAGAGTGAACTCCTGAATTATGAGGAGGTGAGAAAAGAAGAAGGGCCGGAGAATATATTTCATTCACGTCAATTGAGTTCTGGCGGAAAGAGCCCCAAATGAATAGCTTCGACTTGACAAACAGCCAGGAGTCATTTAAATGAGAGAAAACAATTGACAGATGCGACAGTGAAGCAAGGTGAGGAAGGCGAGTTAAGAAGGATGGATTGCTCAGGGGAGCCCGGGCCACTTAGGTCTATTTACCTTCCCTATTCCTCTCCAAATGAGGAATAATAGGACTGCCTTTTGGAAACAAGATGAGGAAGACTTTGGGGTTTGACTGACAGCAGATGAGCTGGAAAGAAAATAAGGATACAAATGACCTGGTCTTAATATTCTGGAGACCGTAGCCTTGAAACAGTTTAATCCGTATTTGAAACATGACCAAGCAAACCATATAGTTTTGTTCTTCTTCTTTCGGCTGCTCTCGTTAGGGGTCGTCACAGTGGATCTTTGGTCTGCATGTATTTGATATGGCACAGTTCTTACGCCGGATGGCCTTCCTCCCCAATTTTATCCGGGCTTGGGACCGGCACTGAGACCGCACTGTTGCACGCAACCCCAGTGGCTGGGGTTGGATCCCTGGCCGGGAATCGGACCCTGGCCGCAGCAGTCAGAGTACTGTGGCCTAACCACTAGTCCTCCAGGGACCCTAAGCAAACCATGTAGTATCCCAATGAGAAGGATAAAGAGGGAATCCAATACTGACTTTAAGCATCACCTGCATCATACAGATGGCCACCATGGGAGAAGAAAATAATGAGAGCGGGTTGTTTTTACGCTAACACACTCAACCGATTAGCTTCAAACTATATGCTATGTGTTATCATGCTAACCAGCTAGCATAGTAATGTGGCAAGGTCACATCAACTGTCATATTAAGATTATAAAATTATAGGTAATTCTGCATATCGAATTGAAGCAGGAAGTTCCACTGGGACTAAAGATTAAAATGAGAGTATCTACAAAATTTCAAAACAAAAGCTAATGCAGACACTCCCAAATGTAGTCTATTAGCCAAGCGACATGCTTAGTGTGTGTGCATCGTGGATCATTTATACAATTTGACCAGAGCATCAGATTCAATGCAAGCTAGCTAATAAGACACCTTTAAGCCACCTTCTTTTTTAAACAGTCTCCTTATTTACCCAACGTTATCCCTGCAGGCAAAAAAAGTCGAGCTTATAAACAAAAATTTAAAATTCTACATTATTTTGGTGAAGTATATTTATGTTTTCTTAAAGTAAAGGTGTCAGAGTTGCAGTGAGTTCTGGCCAAAACCCTGATTTTAAATAACTGTGCCCTGTTTTACGCAACAGCTAATAGCGGTCGAGATAGTCCACACGCCCCGGGGGCGGGATATATACATTCTAGAGAGCATTTAATTGGACAAATACAAGACTAGTACAGGATGAGTCATCAAAAAATTCCAGGAAGTGACGAACTGCGTATTAGTGCCCATGAAATTAACGGACAGATACGAAAAGGTCTGAAACACCAATTTTTGATTTCAGCCGAAATTTAAATGTAGCTAGTTTCCTCACAATTTATCTCTGAAATCTGATCAATATCATGAATTTTCTCAACTGGAAGCTTAGTGTGTCTGTGTGTGTGTGTGTGTGTGTGTGTGTGTGTGTGTGTGTGTGTGTGTGTGTGTGTGTGGGTGGGTGTGGGTGGGTGTGTGTGTGTGTGTGTGTCAGACATCTCACTGTTTGTTATAAATGTTTATGTTTCTGGAAGCAGTCACTTGTGACCCTTTAAGTCGTCCTGCTTCAGGTGTGAATTCACCGGGAGGCCGCGATTTCCTCCAATAAATCTGTGACTGAGAGCGAGTCGAGTGTCGCGTCACCTGTGTGTCCACAATAAACTGTGTGTCAAACAATAACCATCACTCACTCTTCTCACCTCCAGCACTCGCCTCCGTCTTCCTCTTTTCCTCCTCTTTTCTCCTTCTTCATCTTTCTCTTTTCTCCTTCTTCATTTTTCTCTTTTCTCCTTCTTCATTTTTCTCTTTTCTTCTCTTGTCTCCTTCTTCATTTTTCTCTTTTCTCCTTCTTTTTCTTTTCCCCCATGTCCATCTTCCTCTTTTCCTCCCCTTTTTTCCTTCTTCATTCTCTCTTTTCTCCTTATTTTTCTTTGCCCCTTCTCCTTTCTCTTCACCTCTATCTTTCACTTTTCTCCTTCTCCTTTTTTCTCTTTTCTCTTTCTTTCTCTTCCCCCCTTGTCCATCTTCCTCTTTTCCTCCCCCTTTCTCCTTTTTCATTTTCTCTTTTGTCTTTCTTTTTTCTTTTCCCCCTTGTGCATCTTCCTCTTTTCCTCCCCTTTACTCCTTCATTTTTCTCTTTTCTCCTTCTTTCTCTTCCCCCCTTGTCCCTCTGTCCCTCCCCTTTTCTTCTTCTTTTTCTTTCCCCCTACTCCTTTCTCTTCACCTCCTCTTTTCTCCTTCTCCATCTTTATTTTCGTCCCCATCTTTCCCTTTTTTCCTTCTCCCTCTTTTTCTTCTCCTCCTCTTTTCTCCCTAATCTTTTCCTTTCCTCCTCTTTTCTCCTTCTCTATCTTTTTATCCTCTCTTTTCCTTATCCATCTTTCTCTCGTCTTTTCTCCTTCTCCGTCGTCCTCTTTTCATCCTTTCTTTTCCTTCTCTCCCTCTCTCCAACAAATATTTTCAGAAAGTCTTCCCCGACTTTCATTCATCTCTCCCTCTCTCTCCACAACCCCTCAGTCTTGCCCATTTCCTCCTTCCACTTTTTGGTCCCTCCATCATTTTTATTCCTTTTTCTTGTTCCTCTCAATCTTTCCCTTTCTCTCACTTACTCTCTCTCCATTTTTTCTTTCCCTCTCTTTTCCTTTCACACCATTCTTCTCCTATTTTTCCTTTTTCTTTTACTCTCCTTATTCACCCCTCTTTGTATCATCCTTTATCTTTTCCATCTCTCAGTCTTTGTCCTTCTCTCCCACAAACTTTTCCTAAACTATTCATTCATCTCTTGCTTTTTAATCATCTATTTTTCTCTTTTTTCATCTCTCTGCCTATCCATTCCTTTTCCTTTATCCATCCCTCTCTCACTCCATCATACTTCTCTCACTCTCCCTCCATTTTTTCCTAAAATTTCATTCTCTATCTCAACCTTTCTCTGTCCCTCCATATTTCTTTCCCTCTCTCCCTCCTTCTGTTTTCCCTTTTCATTCTTCTCTTACTTTCAGCATCCACTGAAAGTTATCATTTCCTTCTCTGTCCATCCTTCTCTTGCTTCTCTCCATCAACCCATTTCTCGTTCTCTATCCCTCTCTTGCTCTCTCTGTCTCTCAGTCTCTCTCTATGTACCCCTTTCTCACCCTCCGTCTTTCTTTCTTTTCCTCTTCCTCCATCCTTCACTCCTTCTGTTTATCTTTCTTTTCTATTTCTCTTCATCCCTCTCTTTCTCCTTCTCTCTGTCTTTCTCTTTCCCTATCCCTCCATCTTTCATTCAATCTCTCTGTCCTCCCCTTGCTCTCACTTCTTCATCCTTCTCCCACTCTCCCTCCATTTTTCTCACTCCCTCTGTCTTCATCTTCACTGTTCCTGCTCTTTTGCTCTTCCTTTCATCTCTATCCACCCCTTCTTGCTTTCATCTTTCTTATTCCTCTTCCTCCTTCCTTCTTTTCTCCATCCTTCACTCACTCACTCACTCACTCACCACTCCTTTCTTTCGTTCTCTTTATCTCGGCTCCCAGATCTCTCTTCAGTCTCTTCACCGATCCAGTTCGCATTACCTCCATACATCTGTTTCCCTTTCTATCCATTCTGCACTCTCACTCTCCATCCATCCCATTCTCTCCATCTGTCTGTCTCTTCATCTATCCATTCATTTCCCGTCTTTCTTGTCTGCCTTTCTTTCTGTGCTCTTCAGCTGTCAGGGACACCCACTACAAGTTCACCAGCTACGTCAATTCCAGAAATGGACTTATTAGTGGCCACACACACGCTGAACTTCGTGAACCTACTGTACTCCTGATGTCGATAGAGCTTGGACAGATGCTGATTATCTTTCTTCACCTGCTGAGGAGAGCAGGATGAGGTGGAGGACCTTCACCAGGTGAGACATCAGTGTGAACGCTGCAAATGGAGTGAAGATGACCAACATGGCCTGAGCCATCACCTAAATGCTCTTTCTGCTGTTTTTCTTCCACACTAACATCTCTCTCTCTCTCTCTCTCTCTCTCTCTCTCTGTAAGCACTTGATTAAATAAGAACAAGGTGATGGCTTCAGCCTGCTGCCAACCCACTGGACATGATAGATGAAATTGGCCCTTGATGACACAGGAATAATGAAGAGGACTGTTCTGCTTGCAACAAGAAGCTGGTAGTGATCCTAATATGGAACTATTCCATGATTGTCCATCATAAAACAGCTGGTTCTCAAGCGAGAAAAATGGCTCGGATTGAGCGCTATAATTATTTCTGGCCTGGAACCAAGTGCCAGTGATGTCATGGGCTTGGAGGTGACGTCATTTCATCTCCATGCCAACCTCCTCGACCTCCATGACCACAGACATGTTCCATGAAATCCATTAAGAGATGCACCAAGATATGAACAATACAGGGGGGCTACTGTTGTAAAAAAAATAACATATTTAATAACTGATATTATGTAAGGAATAAAACACAACATTGTGGTGCGATGAAGCTGAGATACTAATATGCGTAGCTACATTAAATGTTCACCAAACAAGTTCCTGTTCTCACTTACGTTATAGCAGCTACTGTATAAACACTCGTTCCCTCACCAGCCTCTCTTTTTCTCTCTCTCTCTCTCTTGTAGTTAATAAAACAAAAACGCTGCTTGTTAGCTTGTTACCGAGAAACGGCAAAAGCGTAAACGTAAACTTACAGCTTTACCTCTGACACTGACACTGGAGACTCCTTCCATAAATGTTAAATAAACATCTCCTTACAGAAACACGTTTTAATTTGCGTAGTCTGCTGTTACTATAGAAACGATAACATATTAGAATGAGCGTGTTAATATAATATGACTACGTGTTTTATTGTTTTTATTGTAAGTAGAGCTATATTTGGCCAAACATGTTTATTAATTCACACTTACCTCAAAATGTAAATGTAGTCGATTGATCAATATAACCGCAGAATGTACCACAGTTTCTCAAAAGATTTCTCAACATGTTGATTTCCACATCAAAAAAGTCAAAAGCACATGCACAGCTGCTGATAATAAAAGTGTTCAAAGCCTAACCATAGACAGAGTGAACAATATTCATAACTGAAAAACATTCATGTTCTTAATTAAAGCATTAAACCATAATTAAAACAATTCCCTTTAACTTGTTGATCTTTACAGCTAAGAATAAGTCACAGGCGTGAGAATAAATCTGTCTCCAAGACAACAACTGCTCAGGCGAGAACCAGACCATCTGCGCTCTCTGATATCGTGGCCTGATTAGTCTGAATGTTTGTGTCGGCCGGAGATGCGGTCAGAGTTTAAGCGAAGAGAAATACCTCTGCATCTCTTCGAAGAACAGGAAATGATCACAAACTAATTATTAAAGTAGACAAACGCACGCTCCTCACGTTCACGTTCTAAACCTCATTTTCATTCTCAACATCTCTTTTGTTCATCTCTTGGCATGTAGGAATCTTTTTGCTGACACT